CTTTTGCTGAGTCCAGTTTATTAACTATATTTGACAGACCATGCTCTTGGTACCACATGCTTTTGTTGTCAGAGAATTCTTTGCCTACTTCTAGGTTGTAAGAATTTTCTTCTATTTTTTCCTGTAAGTTTTATGGTTTTATGTTTATCCATGTTGAGTTAATTTTTGTGGGATACATGAGATTTAGATCAAGTTGTTGCTATTATTATTTTCCTTATGGATATCCAGTTGCATTAACACCATTTCTTGAAAAACCTTTCTTGGATCTGTTGAATTGCTTTTGTGCTTTTGTGAAAATTTTTATTGGGCATGCTTGTGTGGTCCATTTCTGAGTTCTCTATTCTGTTCTAAGGATCTAAGTGTCTGTCCCTCCACCAGTACTTTATATATATGATTACTACAATTATATAGTAAACCTTATCAATGGGATAAATGTTTCCTACCATTTTTTATTTGTTTTCAAAATTTCTTTGGCTATTCTAGGGCCTTTTCCTTTTCATATTAATTTTAGAATAAGCTTGTCCATGTCTACAAAAAGCCTTACTAAGATATTGATAAAAATTGTGTTAAATCTAGAGATCAATTTGGAGAAAATTGACATCTTTACTATATCAAGTCTTCAAACCAATGAACACAGTATGTCTCTCCAAATTTTTTTAAACTTCTTTCATCAGTATTTTTTAATTTTTGCATACAGATTCTGCACTTATTTTGTTTTATATATCATATATACGTATGTATGTGTATATATACATATATGTATATATATATCTAAATACTTCATCTTTCCAGGACCAACCGTAAATGGTGTTGCATTTTTTTATATTGGTTACCACTTACTCATGTTTAGTATATAGAAATACAATTTATTTTCATGTGTTGATATTGCATCCTGTGAATTTACTGAGTCATTTTATCAGTTTAAGAGTGTTTTTGTAGATTCCTTGGGATTTTCTACATAAACAATCATGTTGTCTTAAATAAAGATACTTTTTTATCTTCTTCCTCAACTTATAAGTCTTTTATTTCTCCTTCCTAACTTATTGCTCGGGCTAGAATTCCTAGTACTATATAAAATAAGAAAGGTAAAAGTGTACATCCTTGCTATATTCCTCATCTTAGAGGAAAAGCATTCAGTATTTGACCTTTAAATACAACGTTAGCTGAAGGTTTGTTTTTTCGGGTTTTTGTTTGGGGGAGTTTGGTAGATTTTTTTTTATGAGATTGAGAAAATTTTTCTCTATTTCTTGTTCACTGAAATTTTTTATCATGAGCAGGTGTTGAATTTTGTTAAATGCTTATTCTGTGTAAATTGATATAATCATATGATTTTTTTTTCTTCTTTAGTCTGTTGATATGATGGACCACACTGATTTTCAAATGTTGCATATCTTGCTTCCTAGGAATAAATTCCACTTGGCTGTGGCGTATATTTTAAATACATGTTTTGGAATTTAATTGCCAATATTTTGTTGAGTTTTGCATCTAAGTTCATGAGAGATAATGATCTGTAGTTTTCTTGTGTGTGTGTGCGTGTGTGTGTGTGTGCTGTCTTTGTCTCGTCTCATAAAATGGAATGGGAGTGTTTCCTTCTTTAGATTTTCTGGAAGAGATTGAATAGAATTAGTGTTAATTCTTATTTGAATGTTTTGTAAAACTCTCCTGTGAAACTGCCTGGGCTGGAATATGTCTTTCTTATGAGGTTTTACATTATAAATGCAATTTCTTTTTAATGATTTAGTGTATTATGCAGTTGTCTATCTCATTTTGACTGAATTTTGCTAGTTTGTGGTTTTCAAAAAATTAGTTCATCTTTTCTAAGTTGTCAAATTTTTTAGTGTAAAGTTGTTCAGAACATTCCCTTGTTTTCATTTTAATGGATCCAATATCTATTATGATATCTTCTATTTCATTCCTAATATTGGAGATAATCCAACAAGTTTTTTATTTCAGTTGTTGTATTTTTAAATTCTATCAGTTTTATTTGGTTGTTTTTTATAGCTTCCATTTTTTTCATTTGTTTCAAGAGAATTTGTGATTGCTCATCAAAACATTTTTGAATACCTCATGGTAGCTGTTTTAAAATCCTTTTAATGTATTCCAACATCTGATTCATCTCAGAGTTGGTGTCATTTGACTGTATTTTATCATCTAAGTTGTTTTTCAGTGACTTTCATTTGTATCCTGGGCATCTTGTATATTATGTTAGCAGACTCTTAAACTATTTAAATTTTTGTTTCAACAAGTAGTCACCCTATTTAGGTTTAGCATGTTGATCTTGGTTTCCTTTTTTGAGCTGTAGTTCCTATGACAAGTTAGTCTATTAATACTGTCCTGGCCAGCTTTATTTTCTTGTTTAGCTGGGGCTACTGCTTGATCCCTGGAGGAGAGGAAACCTTTTAGGATGCCACAAAAATGGAAAAATTGCTAGATGCAACTTATTGTGTAAATCTAAGGGTATGAAATCAAGTTACAAGTGGGGAAGCTGGTACATGAAGAGGGATAGTTCATCACAGTGAAACATTTATTCCACATTCAGAGAGAATGGGTATAAAAACTTCACATAGGTCTTACTTTCTTTGGCATTGCAATCAAGTAACCCAGTTCCTTTTGATTGGGATACTGATGCCTGCTGCTCTGGTGTAAGTGTGTGAGCAATGTTGAGCAACAGGGAATACCTATCATGTGTATTACTGTTATCTTAGTAAAACCCTTTGACTTAACTATTTTATAAATGTGAGAATTGAAGCTCAGAGAGATTGGTTAATTTCTTTAACATCACTTAGCTACTATGTGTCAGATTTGTGATTCAGATTTCACATTTAAAATTTGTTTCCTAAAAAATACAACACCAAACTCATTGCCGTCCAGTCGATTCTGACTCATGGCAACCCCGTGTGTTACAGAGTAGAACTGCTTCATAAAGTTTTGTTGGCTGTAATCTTTATGGAACAGATTGCCAGGCCTTTCTTTCATGGCACCGTTGGAAGTGTTTGAAGCCAACCTTTAGGTTAGTAGATGAGTGCAATTGTTTGTGCCACCCAGGTGTGACAATACAATTTAACATCTAATTGTAGATACTTTTGAGTGAATGGCACAATCATAATAATTAAGCTGGGACAATAGATGACTTTGTAGAGCAAATTGCGATGTATGTTCATTCTATCTTTTCCTCCATTTTTTGATATCCTTTAATGACACAGTTACTCAATTTCAAAGTATTCTTCCATACTTATTTTTAACACCGATAATAATCTTAAGTTATCATTAAAGGGGTGAATTTGTTTTGCAAAATTATAATAAAGACAGGACAACATAAATATGCCCAAAAGATTAATTTCTTAAAATGACTGGAAAGGAAATACATTTTTAAATAAATAATAAGCATAATTCCAGAAACTATTTTACACATATTTTTGATATGTGTTTATACTGTTGCCAATTCAAAATTGAATTTCTAAGGTACTAGTTGAATTAAAAATTGACAAGTGTAAAGAATGTATGAGTAAAATTCAAATCAAGATGAGTCCCATACAATACACAAAATAAAGAAAGAAGTAAACTTTTGTTATTTCCATGTAGATTCATTCAAAAATAATTCAGTTTTGGTAACATGATTCAAAGAAAAGATGCCACATTTCCAGTCACAGTCAATTCTGTGGAATAGAGAGAAAATAAAGTATTAGTTACGGTAAATGATAAAACTGTTCATGTGTAATTTTAGTGTGATTAATTTATAAGAGAAATTTAATTACAAATGTTCCCTGCTGTGCTCTTCCTTGGAGGCATATAAAAGTTTCTATAAGACCAAATATCAGCTCACTTGGAACTGTTTTCGTGAAATGTCTAGTCTGTCATGATCACAAAATGATTCATATCTTAGGAATCCCAAAGCTGTTCTCTCTTCCCTTTTTAACCCTCATACCTGGACAAAGTAATTTTATTTTGACTCATGAATCAAATGACAATATATAAATTTTAAATGTGATAAAAACAACTAAAATCTCACGAAGTCTAAGTTAGAAATAAAAATGCAAGTTTATCTTTAAAAAAAGCTCAAATATATTTATGTAAAAGTAGAAGAAAACTATTTTTGTTTTTCCTAAAAATGGTGATAATCAAGTATAAGGCACTTGAAAGCAAACCAATCAAATCTGTCAATAGCCGTAAATGAAATTTAAAAAAATAATTGAAATGCAAAGAATATATAATCAAGTCAGTAAATAATAGTCAACTATTATGAATAAATTGATAATTAATAAGTAAATAAGTTATTATATTGATGGAATGTGCTGCTATCTTGGGCTTATCCAAGACAATGAAACACCAAAAAATATTAACTATAGGAATGATTAATTTCCAAACCCCCAAAACTTACCAGAAGTAAGGAGGGAGCATCAACTTTGTAATGTTCTTAGACCTTAGAAACAAATAAAAATATACATAAATATACAGTTTGCATCTTGGCAAGAATACTTGCCCTAAGAATGCTTTGAATAATGAAATAAACATCATTTGCATATATATGAAGAACAAGTATTGTGAAGGAAGACTAAGGCACTTGGGGAATAGATGTACACAAGAAAAACTTAAAAACTGCAGAAAATAATAAATTATCTTTATCCCAAACCCAATCAGATTATCAAATTTAATTCTGGCTTTAAGAAGCCTTTATCTTCTTTATCTAATTCAGAAGTTCTCAACAGACCAATTAAATCAGAATCCCTGCAGGCATTTCTTCCCAACACTTAGTTTCTTCTACTCAAAAAATCAGAACAATTGTATCATAATCCTTGTGGATAGGCTTAGGCATTGGAATTTTTTTTGTGGGGAAAAAAAAAGTCCTTCAGGTGATTTTATTGTATAAGTGTGCTGAGAATCACTGATCTAAACTATGTGCTTTTTGGATCCATTCATGTATGCCTCTATTTTTTAATTCTAGAGTTCTCATTTATTCTATCATAAACACATCACGAATGAAACAGCAGAGTAAGTAAATTTTAACTTACAGCAACAGGGTTATAAACTGGAGCAAGTGGTTGAGCCACTGGGTGGAACACACGGACTGGGTCAAGTAGAGGCTCTTGGATGGGTATACCTCTCTGGGCATAGGGTATCCCTTCCTGGGGAACAGGCAGGACTTTGGGCAAGGAGAGAGAAGGAAGCACTGGAGTCTGAGCAAGAGGCTGGTGGAGCTGGTGCCTTAATGGCTGGAGCAGAGGCAGAGGAAGGTGAAAATTTTCAGGATTAGTGAGATACAGGATCTGGGGGTCAACAGGGGAAATTATTGGAGACTTAAGGAAGGACATCACTTTTTGCCTAGGAAAGATGGTTTCTTTAGCTTCAGGGAATTCCATTATTTCAGGCTGGAGGAAAGGCAGCACCACAACAGGCTGAGCAGGAGGCATGGCACTTGATGGAACAACGGTATAAGGAATGGGCTCAGCGTAAGGATAGACTAGAGGCTGCAGCTGGAAAAGGGGCTGGATTTTATCCTGGCATTCATCCTGGAAAGAAGGAAAAGGAATCTCTGAATCTATGATTCAGCTATTACTGTCATTCATGACAAATTAATCTCTTCTCTCTCGGGGAATCATAGTTGTTAAAACACACCTTCCCTGAGTGAAAATAAAGATAGAATACCCTGCACCTATTTTGGTTAAGAAATTATTTTGGGTCATGGGAAGAATATTGAGTGTAATGCTCTTTGAGAAACTTCTCATTAATCCACTCACTTCATACATGAACCCACAGTTCAAGTTAAAACAACATTTGGGGATTTCAAGATGTTTTCTACCTTTTCTAGTTTCCTGGATAACTGCAGTTGTTTACTTTAGTCTTCTGAAGACATAGGGTTTCAACATGTGTTCATAATAGACCAAATTGTTTTCACATAATAAAGAGGAATCTATTTAAAAAGACTTAGAAGGATAACCCCAAGGTTTATTTTTGCTTTATTTTAATGAAAACTCAGTCCTAATTTGTGGCGAAATTCAAGAAATTACTTAACAGTAACTCTTTCCCTTGGTAGAAGGTAATTATCTGGAATCTTTTAAGAAGTATAATTTTGTAAATTCAATTTAAGTTAAAAAAAATATTTGGTGTGACCACCAAACAATCCACCTTCATAGATAAAACAGGGAATGTGAAATATTACAATTTGGTAAATACGTTACTATAAATGTAACTTAATTAAGTATAGAATTCTATGTGGTCCAGGAAAATCTTTGGTTTTTAAGTAAACTCTGCTATTTAATAATTTTCTGATATTGTTACACAATTATGTACTCAATTGCTCTATACCTCTCTTCTCTCATCTTTGTAATGGAAATACTCTTAAAATATCATATAGTCAATAATGTTCACATAAAATTTACAAAATGTTAATTCAAAACTATATAAGTATTTATTATGTGCCAGCTCATTAACTCTATGGTACAGATATTGTTATCAATATTCTCAGTTTACAGATAAAGAAGGTAAGGTACAGAAAACTTGAAGCCAAGGTTACACAGTTGATAAATGAATAAGTTAGGGTTCTATGCCATATTGCCTCCCTATTCCTTTTCATTACCATATCTACCTTGGGAATAAGAGAAGCATATTTTCTCAACCTAGAAATATTTCTACTAACGTGCAGCTATTCTTAGGTATTTAATTTGTACTCTGGAAACAGATTATAAGTTTAAAAACTGCATTTATGTCACAGAAAATATACTGACTTTGTCAATGTACCATTCTTACACTGGTTGAAAGGTACATGGCATTTAATTTATTACTATTCTTTAGACTGAACATATAAGTTCTTATAATGAATAAATATTTTTATATGTAATCACACTTCATAAAAACTTTAGAAATGTACTTGTCATGAGCAAATTACCTCTCTTTGCTGTTCCTCAGGTCTAACCCTCTCAGATTTTTGCTAAAAAACAAATCATAAAAGAACTGTCACCATATGTAAAAATTAAACATGGGAAATTTTGAAAATATGTACATTTAAACGTGAAGGTTTTACCTTGTCAATTTGTGTAACAGATTCCTTCAGAAAAATAAAAATAAAATAAAGTTTAGTTTTAATGATTTCTAGTCAAGTGAGCAATGCATATTTGTCAATATATATCAGAAAACAAAGGCTTTTGATAGTTTAATGTGGACACATTATTCAATAGTATCAGTCATGACTTAAACGATAGTTGCTGAAACTAATATGTTACACTGTTCTGTATAAGCCTGTTTATATACATAAATACAAATAGATAAATGCAATCAAGTCAGAAAAGAAAGTTAGTGAACATAGGATAAAAAGATGCATTTAATAGATGCTAATCCCTCTTTACCCTCATCCTTCCTGTGACAACAAATGATCTCTAATACCCTATCTGATTCTAAAAGTATAATACTTGTTGAAAGTACATTCTGATAACCATTGATCCCTTCTATTGATCATTCTAAGTTCACTTGTTATGTGCTAGGCTTAAAAAAAACAGACGCCAATGAATTATAAGAAATAAACATTTCCCCTAAGGATCTTACAATGTTTTTGAAGAGAAAAAATATATTTATTTATATTCAATTAGCATGTAAAGATAGACCCAAAAATAGTGGTGCAAGGGTAAATATTTACCTGATTCACCCAGGCAGATTTACAACTATACTGTGTCTCATTGCTTCTTATTTCTTAAAGTGACACTTACAATTACAAAATGTGTCCATTTGCACGTCTGCCTACCCACTACATTACAATCTATTTGCTATCAGAATTAACATCCTTAACTTTTCAGTTTGCATCATCAGCTTCTAGGCAATGTCTGATTTATAGAAGGCGCTCAACAACCAACAAAACAGTGAATGAAGTCAGAATAGAGAGAGCTCAGTTAAAAGTGCAGCTAGAAAACAAGATTGTACCATCAATAAAAAGGGAGCAAAGTGACTTACAAATTCAAGTAGGAAGCCAACCTAGAAACTACTAGAACACTGACTTCTCTAAACATTTAGTCTTCTTAAACATAGTATATTAGAAATTTACATTAGAATTTGTAAATCAGAACATAGCTGAATTAGCTTAACTAGCTTAACATAAGATAATAAGATAAGCACAGCATTTTAGTGTTCTAAAATTGAGAAATTGCCTCTGAATAAAATTGTTTTACCTCACTGCTTGAAAAATAGTCTACACTCTACAAAGAAAAAAAATAAAAAATCAACAACTGGCTAAGTCTTCTCATAGATCACCACAGACTGTTACTGTTTTGTCCGTGGGAAACTTTCTATGAAGATAAATATCTTACCTTAGTAGATACAGTATCTTCCTTCTGTAAAAGAAAAAACATAATTTTAGTTTCTATGGCTAATTGATTATTAATCATGATTCCTACTTAGTTTCACTTCCCTTACAAAGAATTATCTATTTCATAAATTTATTTGAGAAATAAAAATAAATGTTGTATGTCTTCTGAAAGACTTCAAAGACAATTGTTAACAACACCTTTTAAATTTAGTGACTTTTATATTGGTGTATTTTTATGCTGTCTGTATACAGCACAAAACTTTTGATAAGTTATGAAAAGAAGTTATTTTAAACTGTATTAAATCATTTATTATGATTATTTTGGTATGGCCTAGTACTTCATTCTCTGTGTGTCTTTGGACAGAGACAGATAGGATTTGACCTAGTGCCCTATAGCTAAGGATACATATGTTTTATCATGGAATAAGATATTTTTATGTAAGTTCCACAACTATGCCATTGTATTTGTGCCATAATACTCTTTTTTGTTGCCTTTATGATTCTTCTACCTCCTTGTTTTCTTTGTTGCTTATTAGTTTGTTTATTTTTCCTCCAGAAACTAGTGGCACAGAGGTATTACAAGCATTCAACACAGCTTCGTTGCCCTGTAGGCAGCCAAGTTGAAACACTAGGTAAATGTAAACCAGTTTCTTAGAAGCCAAAAAAGGAAAAAAACCCACCAAACCCATTGCTATCGAGTCAATTCTAACTCATAGTGACCCTATAGGACAAAGTAGAACTGCCCCACAGGGTTTCCAAGAGTGCAATCTTTACAGAAGCGGACTGTCGCATCTTTCTCCCATGCAGTGGCTGGTGAGTGTGAACTGCCAACCTTTCAGTTAGCAGCTGATCTCTTAACTACTGTGCCACCAGGGCTTCTTTCAGAAGCCAAAATATTCTGCTGAAATTCTGCATTATTTCAACACTTAAGAATACTGGTGATATTATTCCCTACACCTGGTCAGATAGCCCATTATATGTTAATTATTTAGAAATTTCTCTCAGTACTTACCTCCCTTGCAAGAGCAAGAGCCACCAGACAGGCAAGGATGAGGACTTTCATGGCTATCAATTCCTGTGAAAGGGAAAATGAGGAAACAGTAATGTATTTGGTCAATCTGATATATTTTCTTATTTAGTGCTTATTTAGGTAAGGTTTTTTTTTTTTTTATTATTTTTTTATTTTTTGCCTTAAAAAAAGATAACGCATCATAAAAATGTCTACATGATAGAAAAAATACATATTGATAGAGGTTTTCTTTTTATGACCGAAGTCAAAATCCTACGGTAGCTCCCTGTTCTTACATATCAAATTCAAATCTCATTGCCAGTCATTCATGTATTTTCAGCTGTTTAATACCTCTCCCCGACTCTTTTCATCTCATTCACTTATTTATTTATTCATTCATTCATTTATTTTGGATGGGTATAAAGATGTTCTGAATATTTACAGAAAGATTTTTTTTAATAAATTCATTTTTGAAAAATATTCTTTTGGCACCTTATATTGCCAGACAGTGTCCATATGCTGCGGATACGGTGGTGGAAAAAGCTGTAAGGCCTCAGATTTAGTGGCGCCTTAATTCTTTTGGAGGAAGACTGATCAAAGAAAATGTGTATGAAGAAGATGATTTCTCCAAGATAGTATTTTAATTTTATTTTTCCTTTATTAAATGAAACTGTTTCTGTGAATATATAGTTTAATCTTACCTCCTATTTCCAATAGACTGAAGTTTCAACTTAAGCATTTCTATTTTTACTCCTCTATTCAGATGGTTTTTTGGATTCATTGGATTGTTTGTTCTCTACTTATACCCACTGTGGAGTCTTCAGAGCCCTGATGGTGCAATGGTTAAGAGCTATAGCTGCTAACTAAACGGTCAGCATTTCAAATTCACCAGTTGCTACTTGGAAACCCTGTGTTGCCATTCTACTCTGTCGTTTAGGGTCGCTATGAGTTGGAATTGACTCAACAGCAACGAGAACAACTAGAAATGGAGACTTCACCCTCATGAACCTAATGATGTCTTTTCTCATTTCTGTCACATGATTCTAGAGAGAATATATTATGCCACTTCTTTTCTCTCTGTAAAATGTGCCCAGTAATTTCTGTATGATTTTCCAGAAGTCAGGTTCTTTTGGCCTCCTCTCCCTACCCCTTTCCCTGATACCTCTTCTGGTGAAATGTATGTAATACTTTTGACCCAAATGTACTTACTAACTGGAATTTTGCTTGCTTTCATTGCATTTTCTATATATATTTTTGTGAAAAAATTATGTTTTTGATATAATATTCCTAGGAACACAATCTTCATTCTCAGATTATTAAACTAAATTTCTGAACTAAAAACATTTCAGATTAAAAAAAGTCACTAATTCACCTGTAAAACGTCCTTTCCAACATTTGAAGCCTTAAAATAATGCTTCGGTTAGAGGAAATAGATTTCTCTCATGGGGCTATATAATTATTTATTTACTTTTCTTTCTATAAGATCTCCATGGAGCCCTGGTGATGCAGTGGTTAAGCATTTGGCTGCTAATCAAAAGGTCGGCAGTTTGAATCCACCAACCGTTGTTCCTTGGAAACCCTATGGTACTGTTCTAGTCTGTCCTATAGGGTCGCTAAGCGTTGGAATCCACTCGACGGTAATGGTAATTTTTTTTTCTCTTTTTTTTTTTTTTTTGGTTTAAGATTTCCATAAGTTTCAGAATAAATTTGTATTGTCAGGATTCAAAAGTAGAATGTGATACTCCGTTAGAGATCATTACATATAAAGAGAATCCCATTGCATTTCTTATATTTGTATACAAGCTTTTAAGGCAGAACTTCATTATTTACTGATATCTACACTAAGCTACTCTTTTTTCCAAATCATCTTTCTTTGTTATTTGTTACCAAGTCATTTCTGTGAAATCTTAAATTTGTTTACAAAGTGAACTACTTTGTGTCTTTTTATTTTAATTCTCTATTTTCATGTCTCTATTCTAATATTATTTTGAAATATAAACTAGGTAATAAACTAGAAAGTTGGATGTTCTAGACAAATTTGGTGAGTGCACCCTTCTCATAAAATAAAATTATTTTAAAATATTTCAAGTAGTGGATGTCCCCAAGTCACTCCCTCAGTTTTTTGACTCAATATGCTACCTCTTAAACTACCTATTGGATAAAGCATTCTCATAGTATACTTTTAATATGTTTGTTTTTATGATGTGGTATGTTAAATTGAATAAGAAGACAATTCAAGAAATGGATTTCCTCTTAATGTAGCCTATTAACTAGCTTTGTACTAAATATATATATATATAATTACAATGAATACATTTTCTTAGACTCATTAAGTCTATACAGTCATTGTAATTTTTACCAAATCCTACCAGGCATGTCTGCTTTTTTTTAATCTAAGTTTTGAAAATAGTATCTGAACTATCTTAAATACTTTTATTTCAAAAAAAAATTTTAACTGTATGATCCAGCAATTCTACTAGTAGTAATATATCCTAGAGAAATGAGCCATCACATGAATAGACATATGTACACCTATGTTCATTGCAACATTATTCACAATAGCAAAAAACGAAAACAACCTAAGTGCCCATAAGTGAACTGATGGATAAACAAATTATGGTACATACACACAGTGGAATACCACGCAATGATAAAGAACAATAATGAATCCGTGAAACATCTCACAACATGGATGTATCTGGAAGGCATTATGCTGAGTGAAATAAGTCAATCACAAAAGGACAAATATTGTATGAGACCACTATTAGAAAAAAAAAAACCCAAGAAAAGGTTTAGACACACACACACAAACAACAATCTTTGATGGTTATGAAGAGAGGAGGGGTAGGGAAGGGATATCACTAACTAGACAGTAGAGACATGTTAACTTTGGTGAAGGGAAAGACCACACACAACATAGGGAAGTCAGCACGTCTGGACCAAAGCAAAAGCGTAAATGTTTCCTAGACACATCTAAACACCTTGAGGGACTGAGTTACTGGGGCTGAGAGCTGAGGACCATGGCCTCGGGGTACATCTAGGTCAATTAACATAGTTCATTTAAAAAAATGTTCTACATCCTATTTTAGTAAGTAGCGTCTGGGCTCTTAAAAGCTTGCCAGCAGCCATCTAAGTACAGCTATTGGTCCCATCCCATCCAGAGCAAAGGAGAATGAAGAAAACCAAAGACATAAGGAAAATATTAGCCCAAAGGACTAATGTCCAACATGAACCCCACCCTCTACCTACCTGAGCCCAGAAGAACTAGATGGTGTCTGGCTACCACCACCAGCCACTCTGACAGGGATCACAATAGAGGATCCTGGACAGAGCGGGAAAAAAATGTAGAACAAAATTCAAATTACAGAAAAAGAAAAAAACCCAGACTTACAGGCCTAACAGTGACTGCAGGAACCCCTGAGAATATGCACCACCCACCAGCTCCCTGCTAACTCAGAACTGAAGCCACTCCTGAAATCCGCCTTTCAGCCGAAGATTAGACAGGCCTATAAAACAAACAATAACACACATGGGGACCGTGCTTCTTAGTTCAATCAAGTCTATGGGATCAAATGGGCAACACCTGACCAAAATCAAAGACAAGAAGGCAGGAAGGGATAGGAAAACTGGATGAATGGACACGAGGAACCCAGAGTGGAAAGGGAAAAAGGGAGAATGTTGACACAATGTGGAGATTGCAACCAACTTCACAAAACTACTTGGATGTAAAACTTTCACCTAAAGCACAATAAAAAATAAAATAAAACACTTTAAGCAATTATGATTTTTCTATATCTCAACCTAGCTTGAAATCAATGGTTAAAAGGGATATATTGAAATTATATCTGAAATTCTTACCTTTTTCCAAGATGGAGGACAAGAAGTGAAGGTGAAGCTGAGTGGATGATGGTCTGTCTGCTTTTGTGGCTGTTTATATATTTCATTTAATGACATGCTAATTTTGTGGTTTGAAATAAAATCAATAGGGAGAGTCTATTCCAAGAAGTATCCATCACTAGAAAATGATTTCTCCCTGTTATCTGTCCCCAGAAATCTGGGGAGCATTTTAACAAGGGAGCAATTCACAAACTGATAAAGGAAACTTGTCCAGGAAATGCAATTGTCCAAAAACTAAAGACAGTGGCTGGAGGACAGTGGCACTCTGGCCCAATCATCAAGTCATTGCACATAATACCGTCTCTTTAATACCACGAGATTCCAGATGAGGGGAAATTTTCTGAGAACACCAGAGATATTCAGAGCTTCAAAAAACCACATTTCATGCTAACCTGAGCAGGCGTTAGTGTTTTATCCTACAAGGAAGAAACTGACAATGCAGACAAGTTCTTGGTGATAGCTGAGTCATGTAAAAAAATTGCTTAGCTCCCAGAATTATTTGATCTGGGAAAAATAAATTATTCAATGCAAATCAATATTTTGTATATGAAGGGAATAAACCTTTTTTGTAACGGAACAACTCAGAGAAGGAATCTTGATGACTTGTATAAGCAAAATCCTGGGTGTATTTATTATAAAAGTTGTACAAAATGCCATGGAGACTTATTTGAAAAAAACTGATTATCTTTTTGCATTTAAGGTATTATAATAATAATAATAATGAGCACTGGTGGCAGAGTGGTTAAGAGCTCAGCTTCTAACCAAAAGGTTGGCAGTTCGAATCCACCAGGTGTTCCTTGGAAACCCTATGGGGCAGTTCTGCTCTGTCCTGTAGAGTTGCTCCTAACAACAACAACAATAAGAAGAATATACTCTTTATTTAGTGCTATTACTGCTAACCACATGCCAGGAACTAAGGGCTTTACAGACATTACCTTGTATAATCCATACAAAAACCAAAAGGTCATGAGGCAGCTCTCATCTCTATATTTTAGTTGAGCAAACAGATATCAAAACGTTAAGTAACTTGCTCAAAATCATTTTGTTAATGACATAGATACCATTTAAACCCAAGTGTGTCTAAGTACAAATGATTCTATTTGATCACATGCAGTCCGCCAGAGTTCATGGTTTAACGTTCTTGAAATTTTGTCATAATATTT